TGTGTGTGTACTTTTTGGAGGTTTACAGACATGATTGCTATGAAGCTGCATGAAGATCTTTCAGAAATTCTTCTTTTGTGCTCTTCAGGCAAAATACCAGCATACAGGTTTGGAACAACATTACGGTGAGTAAATGACAGCATTTTCACTCTGGGTGAACTATTCCTTTAATTTAAAATGTGAGGCGGAATCAATAAGTTGTATGTCTTTAGAAATGAATCACCAAGGCCGGCTAAGTTCTCACTAATGTCTGTTATCCTTCTATATAATGAATATGTTGTTTCCTATAATGTGAATGTGAATTTAGGCACACGACCAACAACTGAACCGCTTTAGTCCTTTAACTGCTGGGACTCATTTTCTAAATATTGGTACTTTCTCTTTCAAACATCATTCTACTTACTCTTTCAACAGCTTCTTGCTAAATAAACAACTAAAACAAATATATGCATTCTTTTGCTGTTATTTGTCATTGTTTTGTGCCAAGTTGCATAATGACCATAATAATATCTTGGGCAAAACTGTGTGATATCATCTTAACAACTAACTTACTAACTATTAATAAGCAGCAAATTAGGAGTTTATTGAGAGAAAATTCTTAGTTAATAGTGAATATGTGTTCCCTAATCTAAAGTGTTACCACATCAACTATCTTGTAAAATACTGTACAGGATGACTGGACGCATCAATAGCAAAAGATGTAAGTAATGTTTTCTCCTTCCCTTTAAAAACTGATTAGATTTTGCTATCCTAGAATTCAGTTTCAAACTGCAAAGTAAGTTCTAGGAAAAATCTTACATTTACATTTACCAGAAACTTTTATCCAAACAACTTTAGAACATAAGGAATAGTTCACCCAAAAATGAAAATTTGCTAAAAAAAAAAAAAGTACTCATTCTCAGGCCATCTGAGATGAAAATAAGTTTGTTTCTTCTTCAGAACAGATTTGGAGAAATGTAGCTTCAGGGATCTTATCTATGCACAATCAGCTTGTAACACTCCAAAGAGAAAGGAAAACTTGAAATCGTATCATATGACCCCTTTAAGACAAGAGCATACACTTCAGAACATGGGCTCATGGAATTACATCATCAGATGGGATTTCCCTCCAAGGCTTTTCGTTAGGTCAGAGGAACAAAATACTATGAGCGTGACACACAATACTTCAGCTAACTCCCCATTCAGATTGATTTTAGTGGAGGAGGCTTCTCTCTGCACTGCAGCTTAACTCTCATCTACTCCGAAGATCTGAGATCCACCGTCAAATCCATGAGACAATTCTATTAGCAAGACACTGAGGGCAGGAAGTTAATGACCAACGATTTTTTAGCCAGTGCCTCAATTAGGTCAGGAATGGTTTGAGTCTGGGTTTATTTGTTTATTTAATCCCTTTGTCTTGACCTCAGTTAATAAAGTGCACAGTCTTTGTCCAGAGCACAGCATACAAAATCTGAAACCTGTCAAGAACTTTGTCTGGATCATATTAAAAGAAAGAAATAATGAGTTTCATTTTGCTTAAACAGATAACAGATTCACCATCCACTTTTACTGTAAGCCCATGTTTTGGACCATTATGATTGCATTTTATTTTATTTATTATTAATTTTTTAATTATTATTAATTTTTTTGCATTGTGATGCAATTTGCGCATTATTTGTGACAATTAGTGCAATATTTCCCCCTGAAAATTCTCATAACCATAAATGCAAGAAAAATATAGATCTTAAACTAACAAACTTTAAAATAATTTTAAGATGTATGTGTTTGAATTACATATTACATTTCCATCCATTTATGAATGCATATTTAATCATATTTTCAAAATGCATTTATATAATGTAATATCTGCAGTGAATGGGTGCCGTCAGAATGAGAGTCCAAACAGCTGATAAAAAAAGTCACATACGTAATCCACACAACTGCAGTCCGTCAGTTAATGTTTTGTGAAGTGAAAAGCTGTTTGTTTCTAATAAATAAAATCCATCATTCAGGCATTTTAAATTTAAACAGTCACTTCTGGATAAAATTCTAGTCCATAATCCATCATAAAATCTGTTCCGATGAAGAAACAAACTTACCTGAGAGTGAGTACATTTTCAGCAAATGTTGATTTTTGGGTGAATTATTCCTTTAAAGGGGTCATATGATGCTTTTTTAAAGATCGTGCACTGGTTTGGGTGGTTTATGAGGACACAAATTTGTATAATGACATGGGTATGACACAGGTATTACAATATGAAGGTGGTTTATGGGTTTATGGTTAATGAGGACACTACCTGTGTCCCCGTAATTCAAAAGGCTTTAAAAACATACT